GTAGTCATTCCTTATTAGTAGTCTCAAAAGTGGTGACAGGGAAGTAGAACTGTCAGTTACAAATCAGTTCCGACTTCCTCAGCTACACTCACTCACTTCAGTTCTCACTGGTGTCTCTCCCAAACCCCAACACTATTTCTGTGGGTTCATTCTTATCTTATGATAAGATATGCAGCTATCTCAACATCATTTGCAGATTATTTATAGATGTTGATTTTTTTTTTTTTAATTTCGAGAAGCTCCCTCCAAAAACTCAATATTATTAGACTGGAAATAATATTTTATAATTCTGTTTTCCATGATAATTCCAATTTTCTATTTCTAAAAGATAATGTTTTGGGTTTTGTCAGTTTTTAATTAGCTGAATTTTGACTACAAAAATCTACTCTATAAAATGACAAGTGCATTAACTAAGTTGCAGCATATCTTTAGCAAAAGACAAAATGGAATAAATAGCCGTACATAAATAAATAAATACTCGCTTTTTAATTATTTTATTGATATTGTTAATATTTCTATTTATTCTTCCACAAGAAACTCAAAAAAAAATTAAAAGAAAACTTACAAATGAAATTTTAACAACGTATTAGCTTGAATTCTATTATATGTAGAACTGGATAAATTTTCCCTAAAAGCCTTGTACATACTCACATTGGAGCTCATGTTCTACTTTTCTATTCACTCAGTTAATCTTTTGTGTTTGGCCATCCAGAAAGTAGCCCTAGAATGTGTAACAGTAGGTTGGGGATCATGTACTTTCACTGACATAGTCATTGGTAACAAAGGATTGAAAATTAGTCTGCTGGAGCTAACACTGGGCCATACTATAAATGGAACATTCTTTGGTGGTGAGATTTTTTTTTTCTTTTAATTTTATCCATAATAGTACACAAATACTTAAGGTGAAGATTACTGAAAGGAAAGAAAAATAATTTGCTGTTTAAATAATGAATGCCTAGAACACATCTGTTGTTGTTGTTGTTGTTAGGTGCCGTCGAGTTGGTTCTGACTCATAGCGACCCTATGTACAACAGAATGAAATGGAATGTCCTGGTCCTTCACCATTCTCACAATTGTTGCTATGTTTGAGCCCACTGTTGCAGCCACTATGTCAGTCTATCTCGTCAAGGGTCTTCCTCTTTTTTGCTGACCCTCTATTTTACTAAGCATGATGTCCTTCTCCAGGGATTCGTCCCTCCTGATAACATGTCCAAAGAACGTGAGATGAAGTCTCACATCCTCACTTCCAAGGGGCACTCTGGCTGTATTTCTTCCAGAACAGACTTGTTCATTCTTCTGGTACTCCACGGTATATTCAATATTCTTAGCCAACACCATAATTCAAAGGCATCAATTCTTCTCTGGTCTTCCTTATTCATTGTCCAGATTTTGCACACATATGAGGTGACTGATAATATCACGGCTTGGATCAGGTGCACCTTAGTCCTCAGAGTGACATCTTTGCTTTTCAACACTTTAAAGAGGTCTTTTGCAGCAGATTTGCCCAATGTGATATGTTGTTTGATTTCCTGACTGCTGCTTCCATGGGTGTTGATTGTGGATCCAAGTAATATGAAATCCTTGACAACTTCAATCTTTTCTCCATTTATCATGATGTTGCTTATTGGTACAGTTGTGAGGATTTTTGTTTTCTTTATGTTGAGTTGCAATGCATACTGAAGGCTGTGGTCTTTGATCTTCAGCAGTAAGTACTTCAAGTCCTCTTCTCTTTCAAAAAGCAAGATTGTGTCATCAGCATATCGCAAGTT